TATATTTTTATAAGTGTAAAAAATAAGCTCTCGAAAATTCATAATTATCTTATCAAGGTATTTTCATAAAAGTTAAGGATACATAATTTACTACCTTATTAACCTTTTTCAAAATAACAAAGGTCATGGCAAAGATAATAAAGATGCTGTAGTCTGTACCTCCAATTCCATTACAATGCCAATTGTTTTATTTTAAAATTGATCTTATAAGTAATAAAGAAAATAAAGATGATGATGAGGATGAGGATGAGGATGAGGATGAGGATGATAGTGAAGATGAAGATGCGGTAAATAAGTAAGATGTAAAATAACAGGTGACTTTAAATAAGTCTTGTTTCCTTATTATTAAATATTTGTAGAGTGTGGAAAGGATTCGTGTAGATATCATAGTTATGGAAATTTTTTCGATTTTTAAAGTTAAAAAAACACCTGATAGTATTGCTGGCTTCAAACTATAGTTGTTAGGCGAAACTATGTGATGCATAGCCACAAATAGTAACATGTGAATTCACATGTGGCTATGTGATAATTAGCATCACATAGTTTCACCTAACAACTATATTTCAAACACAGGCCCATATGGTTCTTCGATTTCTGAACAAAAAATAATACTATATTATATACTAAAATGGCGTGAATTTGGGTAATTATTATTTAATACTTAAATTTATTTTAGTGATAAAAGTTAATATCATTTTTTAAAAAATTGCATTTAGAGACTTAAAAGATTTAAAGAGTAACCTTTATCCTTGTATTAGAATAAGATCAAAAGGATCAAAAGAATCAAAAGGCGGAATGTCTATAGAGGCGAACTTTGGACATAAAAAGTTCAAATATACTGGTATATCTTTTTATCTAGCATTAAATATTTACTTGTCTGATTTATTTTATTTTAATATTATCTCATGAATAGCAATAGCTGTTAATAATATTGATAATGATCGAGTGAAAGAAGAATGGAATAAAGCTTTTAAACAATGCGATAATAAAGACATTATTGAAAATTTTATAAATCAATTGAATTCATTCGAAAGTAACCAAAAAAATAGGTTAAAATATCGTGCAAAAGCTAATTTTATTATGGGAAAATATAAAGGAGTACTTACAAATTTAAGAGATTTGCTTGAACTTGAACAAAACAATGCATTTGCGTTGAGGTATTGCGGTGAAACTCATCTTATATTAGCAATCAAATGCGGACTTAACAAAATTATTAAAAATAAACAAAATGATAAATGGCA